GACACGCCGGTCACGCATCTCCCTAAGTTGCGAAAGCGTACTCATTGCCTCCTGCAGATAGGAGTTTGTAAGTCGCTTTAAGTTTGAGATCGTAGGTCTCAAATTATTCCGACGCAAACACTTGCAGAACTGACGGGGATAATGTGCGTTACGTTTGCAGTCAGATAGGAAGCGGATACGCTCTTTCCCTTTGGCGATCTTACATTTAGTGTCACGAGCCCATCGAGGGTTGTTATGGTATTTTTCGGGAGTCTTCTGAGAAACTTGAAGCAATGGGTTCCCTGTATCAGTCTAAATAATACAATGAGAAGACGGGTGTTGCACTATGATATCAGTTCGCAACCAGTGATCTTCAACGGTTTCAGTGGGCGCTTACTCAGCCCGGATGGCATCGTACTTTGATACGCATTCAGAACATCTGGCTTCGCCAGTTGGCTGGTGTCTATGCGGTTATTGCGATGTTGCGGACGTCAATCGAAAAGCACCAGAAGGTCGGCACACACAAGAGCGTTATCGAAGTCCATGCTCGTGGACGCAGTTTATTCAGCGGTAACTGATCGATTTGCGTTCATGGCTGGTGGGCACCAAGTCACCCTTCTGCGGATGCTGTGTCGAAAGTTATTGCTGGTGAGAAAGAGACGACTTTCCTCACACAGGTGTAGCAACCGCTCACCATTATCATTACGGCAGCCGGTTAATATCGCGCGGAGGCTGAACCGAAATGGGCGATGAGCAGGCGAGTCGACGTCAGAGCGCTTGGATGATCGCATCCTGCCCCATGAGCTACGTGACTACAGCGTCAGTGAAAGTGGAGAAAAACTGTATTTACTTAGTTAGTTGGCCCTTGAGTGGATCGGTAATTTTTCCATGAACGAAATTTGGCGGTGAGAGTTCAGGGATTTCTGTTCCAGTTGATACAAGTCGAATGCGGCGTACAATAAATTCCGGGCACCCGTATTAAACCATATGTTTATAAAAAAATTAACTAAGAATCATCGCGTCAGATTTTATGCTCCTCACCGATAATATTGATATGGCGAAGGATTAAGGCAACATACGATCAAGAGGTGTAACAAAAGGATCGTGAAGAGATTTCGGATCGCTCGTTTCAAGATAGACCGTCAGTAAACGAGCAGAAACGTAGAGCCGTTCACATAGGCTCGGAGAAAACAATTAGCAGCCCTCTGCATAGGAATATGGCCTCGATGTTCTTACGGAAGATGACTGTTAGGTGCGGATTTACGTGGGGATCTCCGACACATCTGCCCATTACTACGTGCGCCCTGACGTCAAGTATCTTATCTAAGCCTGGTAACCCTGTAATCTTGTTGCACTAGGAATCTCACAATGTCAGATAACAACGAGTACGTAGGAGGGGTTTCGTCAACTTCGATCTCCAAAAGTGCAGAAAGTACTGTGTCGAGTGGATGTACCGATGGCATTGCGATAAGTTCAACATGTAGTAGAACGAGCGAGTAGTAGAACAACATGGATTGCCGCACGCCTTCCGAAAGTTAGAACGTTCTCCTAAAGCCAGTTGTTTCTGCTTTCACAGTAACTATCGCCAGAAAACGGTTGGACACTACGTTTTTACACATAAACAGTAGCATGTTTGTGATGCAACATGGAAGAAAGGAAAACAGCGCAAAGAAATGAACACTTTATTATCTACGCAAGGAACAATGGGGACAGTGACTGTGCACACCAGATGCACTCTGAGACTGAATTTCCAACCCTGATTTCTATGGGGAGGTGCAAGGCCTCGCAATGGGTAATGTACATAGGTTTCATGGACTGAACGAAAAGTCACCACCGAGTACTCTACCGCACCGCGAGTGTAATCCGGACTATGGATACGGATGCATGCGATACTGCGTCTCTCACAGATCGAAGGAGACGGTACCAAGTGTGGGTTCCCAGGTAAAAGTAGTGTTTCCCTGGAAGAATCATTATTTCCAACCGTCAAATCAAGTCAACATAAGCTTTGTACACACGTGTGGGAGCAATTTAAGCCATTTACACAAACACTGAGGACATACTGCAACATAGAATCGGTTGGAAAGTGGTGCAAATTGACAAGAAAAACAAAAGAGTACATTTTCAATCAAGCAAACGGTCTCGCAATTGGGCCGACTAACGAGCGAGAGAGCAACAGCAAAATGGAGTAACGATAGGAAGATGTATGGGAAAAATAAAAGAAACATTTCGATCGCGTGGAAGATGCTGTACTTGCTAAAAGTCATTTAGAATCACTGCTGCAAAAGCACGCGACAAAATCCATGCAATCATGAAAAAGCCATAAGCAGTACGCCGATACGCAGTACCGACGTTTCGCTGCCGGACAACCACCATCAATCGCGCGTGTGTACATAAATAAATAAATTTGTATATTTAACGACACGGCCCCATAAGTGCAAGGGTAGCACGATACCATACGTAGGTTCAAACTCGCGACCTCGTGATTAAAAATCAAGCTTGTGATCTTCAAGATCACGGGCGGTTTGCTAACCATAAAATCCACGAAGAATTCTTTGCTTAATCCAAATCATCGGGAAATATTTTAGTGATCGCAGAAGAGGATAATCTTCTTAAAGAAGTCCGGGAAAATTAACAAGGGAACAGTACAACCAGTGTGGGAATACAAGCATTTACAAAACTTTGAATTAAAGCACGTGGTGCGGAAAGCATTTTGAGCCAGGAGTAAGAAATAGTCTGCAAACTTTTTGAAAAGTTTAAGGAAAATTTGTCGACCGGATAAATTGTAAGATAAAAACATCGAGATACTTTATTGACCATGAATGAAGGATGCTTCAGTCACTCACAACCAGTCGGTTGAGGCGAAGAAAAGTGAATCTGACATCACAACGGTCAGAAGATTTAAAGGAGATGGACTGGGTGGGTGCCCAAGTCAAGTAATCGTCTAATCCTCGTCGGAGTTTCGAAGTTTCAGCAATTACTCGGGTTATACACCTTCGGACGATGTAGCGTAGTTACACCCGATGAAACTGGTTGGTATGAGCAGATATTCGACAGTTGAAGTAGCAAGTTGTTTCGGGAACATCGGCGCCCACCACATGAGGTGCGAATTTAGCATAGGCTAGTGGAAGTGAACTACCAATCAGAGCAGATGACGTAGCTGTTACGAAATGCGAACATTCGGGTAGAGTAAAAAATTTTCATAGATTTTACATTACCATACTGTACTGGCTTGCCGAACAACCTCCTCGTGGTGACAGCTGGGTGGTTCGGGATTCTCCCGTTCCAGCAAATGGTTCGGCGGCAGTGTTCCAGGACGTAGTGGGTTTTCGCCTGACAAGAGTTCTCCCTATAAAAAGCCACATATGTCCGTTGAACAACACTGTGACGTGGCGGACGTGACTCGCCACTAAATAAAGTCACTGCCCCTTGCTTCATCCTGGAGAAGCATTGTATTCCAGCAAGTTTACGTTGTAATTCTGTGGAGCATTGGGCCTCTGTTTGACAAAGGAACAAACGAAAGGCGTATGAACTGAGCAATCAGTCAACGGTTCCCAATGGGCGCGATTCCCTGAATTCACTCCGCTGCCTTGCGGGCAGGCTAATCAGCCAAAGGCTCGGGATGGTGTCCCTTAAGTCAACACCCTACTTCGGTTTAGGCAACCGGGTAGTATCTCGCCCTCTGACGAAACCGTGGACTTTGATGTGTTGTGTTGTGTTTTCTTTTACTATTTCTGTACCTTCCTTCGAGTCCCATAGTTTCTGATGGCTCTATGTCTATTCGTAGACTGTTGCTATATATATATATATATATATATATATATATATATATATATATATATATATATATATATATATATATATATATATATATATATTCTTTTCTGCAGCTACTTCTGCAACAAGTCCTCGCCTCCAGGCGTTGAGTTCTGATTTTGACTGGGGTTCTGAGTTAGTAGAGGACGAAATCAGCTCAAACGGGATAGCGTAAAAAAGGAGTATATCTAACACTTATAACCGGTTGGCAGGCAGATAAAACGCAGCCCAGAGTCGGATAGGTGAGAAGGGGAGTGGGTGAGGCATACGCCAAGGAACAGGATCGAGTTACAGCCATTTGAGGAGGCGGTAGGAGAACACTGGTATTGACAATGAGAGGCAAGTATGATGTACGGAAAGCCTGCTTTGGGACTGTGTGGCTGGCGTATCAAGCAGGCCAAAGGGCACTGAGTGTTCTTTGGTTTATGATTATTCGTAAGATACGCAATATATAATGCATGGCTCTAAAGTTTGTTGTCCGCTTTCAGTATGCCAATAGTTAATTTACTTGGTCGTTTCAAACGAGTATGGTTACACCAAATTCGGAAAAACGCTTCCAGACCACACAATGAGGTCCTTAGGAGCCCAAATGAAAATACGATTACGTATGCAAAAGTGTGGTAAGTGGATGCCTCAAACGAAGCGGTGATATAAAAAGTACCCCAAACATCGAACCAAGATGTACTCAATTTAACCTCACAATGGAGGAGATGTGAGAGAAAAGCTAACAAGTGTCATTTGTGAATTACGTAACACTAGCAGCACGTATCGGGCATTTTGTTTGTGTCGATGTATGCTCCTTTAGCACAACAACAACAACAACAACAACACCGAAGACTACCTGCTCGACACTCTGTCCATAAATGGGACTGAACACGCCAATATCTTGTTCATCATGCCGGAAACGTGAGGCGAGCTCAGATACAACACCTGACACTATAACAGCAAATCTGTCTCAGTAGAGTGGAACGGGACGAACTCAAGTAGATAGCTGCAGTTAGCGGTCGAGGAGAAACTTTAGTTTAAGTGAGAGTGGCAAAAACGAGGAACACGTGGAAGCAGAAATTGCGTGTGCTGAGTTTCCGACACAGTGGATGGAAGCGGCGTAGAATTTCGGGTACATATTGTATGCCGCTCGGTATTTTTTCCGAAAACCGCGAAGGGAGTAACTGAATCAGATAATATCCCATGCAAACACAGAAACACACCTGGGTAGTACATCTCCCGTGAGTCCGTTTGCATTGATCAGTTGTTGCTTATCGTCCAATGGGATGGGAATCGTCTGAAGCCAAGTTACAACCTGCTCCGGGCTCCATTTGTGAGCTAAAAGGAACACGAGACGGTAGATCAACCGAAATACATAGATGGGAAATGATTAACTCTCGGAAAACCATAAAACACAATTTGTAGGTCAATAACGTCAACGCAGCGGTAAGGATTGCGAGTAAAATCCAAACTGGTTAGGTGCACCCTGAGTGTGTAAGGTGGAAAGATCTGATGGCAGATGTGCTTGGCAGAATACGTATAGCGGTAATAGATACATAGGATAAGTACAAAATTTAATCCAATAGAGAATATATATATATATATAAAGCAACAAAAAATGCCCACAAAAGGGAGTTTCATGATGGTCACTCGTTCACTCTCGCAACTAGCGATCCATCAAACACAACTCAACGCGGTTAACTCGGATACAGTAAAAAAAACAAGTGTGAAAAATATGCGGGGAAGCTGATGGCCTCAAAGGATCTGTTGCATCGTGAGCAACCACGCAGAATACAAAGACGATGGGTTTTCTTCTTGGATCAATGAGATGGCAGAAAATAGCCCAGCAAAATTCTCAGCAATAAGAGAAAAGATTTCTTGCAAGTAGACGGACACATGAAACGGTGAAGCAGGACCAAGACAAGGACCGAGACTTTGACCACGATAAGCGTCATCGGAACGTCGGACAAGGCACCGGCAGTACACCGACACAACGTATCGACTTGGCCGTTGCTGCGAACTCACAAACACAGTTCTAGTTCTCATCATTTCAATCGGTTTCAGTAATGGAAAACCCACAACTGCTAATCTAACTTTTAAGACAGGACAGCAGTTGTTCGACTACCTGCGGTCTCTGGCTACTAGGTGTTATGGAGATAAAAGTGACTGATGGTCCCACAACAGTAATTGGCACTTAGAAGAAGGGTAACACATTTGCCAGGCACATATTAAAACACAGATATAGCGAGAGGTTAGAAAATCAGGTCCGTATCCTCTACTGACTCCTATCCCATCTCGTTCAAGTAAGCTGGTACCATGGCCACATGTAAGGAGAAAAACAGGTATATAAGTCAAGTGGATAGAGGAATCGCCTCCAGATCTTTCACATCCATCGGTTTACGCTACCGTACGTTGTACGTCTCGTTAGTAGAACCATGCAATTGTGTTCTAGTGCCCATCTTTTCCATGAGTCCGTTATTTGATGAGCATCGAACAGGCTTGCAGAAAATGAGCCGTTTCTTTACTCATGCATGGAAACTAGAGGACCGTGACTGAGACGCTACTTTGCTCTGAATGTCTTACAAGCGTTCTGTAAATCATCAAGCTCACAATCTTCGTTTTGATGGAAGGACGGCCAGGTGATCCTAAATGTCGATGAATCCGTGAAGTTCACCGAGCCACGGAAACAAGAACTTTCCCTACGGTGCATGGAAGAAAGGAAGTGCAGGTGCAAAGCTAGAGGCTGTCAACTGGCGACTCATAAAAGCTAGTGGCCTTGAACTAGCATGAACGCCCCGCCAACGGCACTGCCAAATTTCGATGATTCTCACGACGCATAGGTACGCCTAACAGGGAAACAAACGCAGTGCACACCTCCAGGTACAGTTCCATGGATCAAACACTGCACGGAGCTAAGTTAAGCAAAAAACAAATATGTGCATGTATTGTTTATGGAAACGCACGAGTAGAAACGTAAGCACTATGGCACACTGAAGACATGCCCTAATAATGTTCGTATCACAATTATATATATATATATATATATATATATATATATATATATATATATATATATATATGGCGGGAGTGCCTATGCTGCGTTGAGGCTGGTGTCGGCTAGATCCTGACAGATGGTCTACCCACTGCTGCTACTGTTGTGCCATGAGCTCATGTCCTGGACGCCTCCTCGTGGCAACCGCTCGGTGGGAGTTGGGTTACGCCCTTTTCCTGCTAAGATCCAGGACACCAATGCGCATGAGTCAGTGAAGTGACCATGTGCTAGACCCGCTGTCTTTCGGGTGTACATTCAATTGAAGGATTTGGAGGAGGACCCGAGTCGTTCTCCTGTCAGGTGTGGGCGCCCTGTCACTATCCTAGTCCATCCTCTCCGAAGGTTAGGAAGTGGTCGATGGCCCTCTTCCCGTAAAACATTGCCACGGGTGACAACAGGTCTGCGGGTTATAAGCTCACAGCTCGATTGGCGTAGAGCACGAGCGCCACGCATTGTCTCTGACGGTGCGAGAGCACCTCCGGGTGATCAATGGTTTGCTACTGCCCGCCTCAAGCCAGGCAGCCCCTGGTCAAATTGGTGCAAACCCGCCAAAACCCACCTGCGTCTGGCCGTGGTCATAGGTGCCTATCCTACTAAGGTCGCAAAGCATATATGAATGGTTCCAGTACCCCAAAGGCTGAGTGGGACGGTCGTCAAGCAGATCCCCATCTGTCTCTGCAATCACATTCCCGAATTGGATCTGCTCCCCACTGCCTTGTGCGTCAGGCTATTGAGCCAACGGCTCTGGGCGGAATCCCTCAAGCAAACCTCCAAATCACCCACTGCCTTGTGGGTCAGGCTATTGAGCCAACGGCTCCGGGTGGAGTCCCTCAAGCAAACCTCCGAAGCACAACGACCACCTCGAGTGCAATTGCCCACCAATGCAATCGTATGCCTGTGCGCAAAGCACTCAGCATCGGGTGCTGGAACGTGCGCTCACAATCGAACCGGAACTCCAGTGAGCGCCCCGAACGACGCACTGCGCCCGTCGCGATGGAACTGGCACGTTACCACATCGATACTGCGGCGTCAATGAAAGCCGGCTCGCTGAGCAAGATAAGTTGCCTGAAGCAGGTACTGGCTACAAATCCTACTGGGTGGGCAACCCCGCCTCAGCACCACATAAACATGGGGTCGGATTTGCAACATCCGATCGCCTCCATGGCCAGCTGGTGGGTGAACCAACAGATATCAGCGCGCAACTGGTGATGTTCGCCAATGACTAGGAAGAGGTAAGTTTGTCGTCTTTATAAACACGTACGGTCCGAACATGTGTTATCCTGATGACATGCGTGATCAATTCTACACTCAGCTATCCTCCGTGATATGGTCTGTGCCGAGGAGCGACCGACTATTTTTGCTGGGTGGTTTCAACGCGCGCGTTGGGCGTGATGCATCGGTGTGGACAGATGTCATCCGTTCGCATGGCATTGGTTCAGCGAATGCGAACGGTGACAGGCTGCTCTCATTGTGTGCCACTCACTGCCTGACGATCACGAACACTCGGTTTGCACTGAGTGCGAGTGATATAGCAACTTGGAGGCAACCACGGAGTGGTCACGATCACCTGCTCCACTATGTCATCGTACGTCAGCGTGATATGCGTGAAGTGCGCATGACACGTGTACTGCGTGGAGCTGAGTGTGGCACTGATCACGAATTGGTGCGCACCAAACTGTACATATTTTAGTAAATCTATGTACTGTGCTCCCGCCGTGAGTCGGCGTAAATTCAACATTCTCTCCCTCGGTACTGTGGCGAAACGTATTGAGCTGAAGAAGGTGATGGCTGCACGCCTGTGTGATGTGAATTGCATAGCCACAGTGGGGGACCTGTGGCACCACATTCGCGACCAGGTGATAGGTGCTGCCTAGGAGACCATCGGGCGCACAAACTGTAAGCGGTCTGATTGGTTTGATGAGAACAATGCGACGATTGGTGCATTGGTGTCGGAGAAGAATGCAGCGTTTGCTGCACATGTGACAGACCCCAATGACTTGGGAAAGAAGAGTCAGTTTCGCAAACTTCGACGACGACTAACCGGGAAGCTCCGTCGCATTAAAAATGCATGGTGGACGGAGAAGGCGAAGCAGATGGAATGCTACGCCGAACGCCGCCAACACAAGGAATTCTTTGACTCCTTGAACGCGGTGTATGGACCGAGATCGGAGCCACTAAGAACGCTGATCGATGGTAATTCAGGCGCTACCTGCACTCAGACTGCAGACATAATACAGATCTGGCAAAAACACTTTAACTGTCTCTTAAACAACCGTTCAGAGATCGACTGGCATAGTTTGAACGGTCTCAAGCAGTACGATGTGAAGGCGAGTTTGGCGGACCCGCCGACGCTGGATGAGACGCAGAGAGCGCTTGTTCAGTTGCGAAGCGGTAAGTGTGCCGGGCCGACGGGATCCCGCCTGAAGTATTGAAACACGGCGGAACCGCGTTGGTGACTGCGCTGCACCACTTGGTGCAACACGTGTGGATTGAGGAGGAGGTGCCTGCTGAGCTGAAGGATGCCATTGTGCTACCACTATACAAGGGCAAAGGGAGCAAGCAATGTCGCACGAGTTATCGTGAAATCAACTTGCTGAGTTGTGTGGGCAAAGTGATTGCTCGAATCCCGCTCAACCGCCTCGTCAGTCAGGTTGTGGAACCTAACGTGGATTCCTAGTGTGCATTCCGTTCGGGTAGCGGCACTATGGTGTTTGCGGCTCGTCAGTTTCAGAAGAAGTGCAGAGAATGACACCAGCTGTTGTACTCGCTTTTTGTTGATTTCACCAAGGCATTTGATACGGTGAACCGCGACGCATTGTGCCTGGTGTTGGGTAAGTTTGATTGCCCGCGTAAGTTTGTACGTTTAATTGAATGTTTGCACAGTGGTATGCGTGCGAAGGTGTAGCTGAGTGGAGTGACCTCGGATGACTGCAGTTGTCTCTGGTGTGAAGCAAGGCTGTGTCTTAGCTCCTGCCCTGGTTGATATACATCATCATGCCATGATGTCTTGTGCTTTTGATGCGGCTTGTGCTCACGGTGTTTGTGTGGAGTACCGTATTGATGGTGGGTTGCTGAACATCCGTCGTTTCGGTGCGAGAACTCTACTCTGTGTGACAACTATCCGTAGGTTGCTGTTTGCTGACGACTGTGCATTGTCTTCATACAGCGCGGATGAGTTGCAGCACATGACTAGTGCTCTGGCTTCGACAGCGGCCAAATTCGGGCTCACCATCAACACAAGCAAAACTGCCTGTCTCTTACAGCCTTCACCGGAGGTGTAATCTTCAATATTGCCGCGAATCACCCTTGGTGCTGAGGTATTGGAAACCACCTCCCACTTCTGCTACATTGGGAGTGTGATGTCGACTGACCAGCAGCTACAATGTGAGCTGTATATTCGCGTGTCGAGGGCAGCGGCGGCATACGGGAAGCTGGAGTACCGAGTGCGGAACAATCATCAGCATACTATTGGCACGAAGCTGATGTTGTACAAATCCATGGTGCTGTCCGTTCTTCTATATGGCAGTGAAACGTGGACGATGTACCCGCGGGATGTGTGACATCTCGAGCGGTTCCATCAACAGTGTTTGAGACGTATATTGCGCATCGGATGGGACGACAGAGCTGCGGACACGGAAGCGTTGCGAAAAGTGTTATGTATGCAGTGGACTGCATACTTTTACTGAGACACCTGAGGTGGTTCGGTCATGTGAGCCGTATGGATTCGATGCGCATACCGGAACAACTATTAGATGGTCAGCTGAGTATTGGGAAGTGGCATGTGGGGAAACCAAAGTTACTTTACCAGGACATGATTAAAGTGAGCCTCACACGTTATAATCTTGACTGCAGGTCATTGGAATCGAAGGCGGTTGATCGACGTGTATGGCGCGATGTAATCAGGAAGGCAGTTGCCGAAGTGTGGGAGAAAGACCTCATACATGCAGAGAAGAAGCGGCAAGCACCGATGGGTTGTACTCCATCGACATCGAGCGCATGGTGCTGTAGCACATGCGCTCGCGAGTGCCCGAGTCAGGCAGGCCTAGTGAGCCATGAGCGAGGCCACTCGGGACCACTACCGAAGCGATGACGGGTCCTGCAGAGAACGTAGGCAGAACCGGCACAGCGTTTGTAGGTACGCTGTAACCGCGTGCTTGCATGCGGGGTCTCTTTTTTCAGGTGGTAGGTTTGCAATTTGGTCTTAATGCTTTTCTTTCTCATATTAATATCTACCTGAACTATCTATAAACTTGCACACGTCGCTGAAGCTAATTGTAGTAAATTTCGATAACATTTTCGCGTTTGTGGCATTTCCGTAAAATATACTTTCACACCTCGTGAAGTTATCACGGATTCGTTCGTAACCAATTCATTGTATACGCCCATTTAGTGGAGACATGTCACCGTAGCTCTATACCTTATCCGATTTATTTTCTTTCACCTTGTCGTTTCAAGTGATTGGCTGTTGCTTGATATCCCCGGTGTGGCTGCGCTTGATGTGCACGTTGACAAGGTGTCTACCTGTCTATTACCCACTACCTCGTCCATACTGGCTCCAGGAGACAGTTGGTCGTTGCTGGAGGGGACGGGGTGAACGGTCCCTCTGTAGGCGCAGGCGTCCTGAGGCTTGCCACAGTGACAGGCAAATCCGAAACCGG